AGTTAATTGTTTGGGTCCTAGTTTTCTTAAAAAAAAGAAAAATCACTTTACCAGCCCCTTGAAATAAAGTTTCAAATAGTGTGCGCGTATAGCATTTGATTGTTACAACTCTTCGAGTCTCTTAAAATAACTCTGTTTAAATATTGGTGAGACTCTTATTTTACCGGATGAAAACTAGTGTGACCTTTCATTGTGAGGAAGTACAGAAGAATGTGTAGACCGAACCTCATCACAAGTGGAATGGCTCCCTCACCTTGGGAATAAGGCATCCTCATTCCTGCCATCACTTGTATTTCTCATGTTGTAGATTGTGCATAGGGGTTGTGTGTTAATGAGCTGGCCCTTTAATTCACCTAAGCAAGATCAATAAGATGAAAAGCTACTATGGTTTCACATTGTGTTTTTCAAAACAGATGCTTTTGGTCATCTTTGTTGTCCTTAAGGAAATGCTTTAAATAATATAAAAAGGTTGTGTACATTTTTTAAAAGATGCAGTACCTGAATTCATGTTTCATTTAGAGACAGTGTGTGATAGTTTTTGTTCATGGTGTTGGGAATTGAACCCCCGGTCTTGCTCATGCCAGACAAGTGCTTTACCACTGAGTTTATACATCCCTAGTTCTTGATGCATTCTTTAAACATCACTTCAAATTGCCTGCAAAGTTTTGTACATATTTTAGTATTTTTACATGCTACTTCCTAAGTACATACAACTTTATGTTATATAGAAGTAATAGTTTCTGAATTTCTGTATTGTTGCTTTCTTTCATTGACTATTTTGCTTATGTGCAGTGTTTTTCCTTGGGGAGGATATGTTTTCATGATAGGGGAATGTTGGCTGGCTTAAAGATTCATTTGTGCTGGGCTACTTTCCATAATACTGAATTAGATGTAAGCTTAGCAGACATTTCATGTGCATGTATATGGGAAAACCTGACAAAACATTCTCTCAGTTTGTTTTTAGACTTGCTGGCAACACTAGGATAAGAACTGGCTTCATAACATTTGACACAGAATTCATTTGTACAGTCTTCAAAGAAGGTCTCTCCCAAACACAGATGCTAATAGTTTCAGACATTGAAAGTGTATGTTTTATACTTACATTTATTAAACTGCCTTAGGAATTTTCCATTTTAGAAATATTTCATGACCATTTGATAAATCAGCGGTGTATGGTATGTGCTTATTCTGTGAAGGAAAGTCTTGACTACAAAGTCATTAGATTGTTGGAGTTGTAAGATTCCTTTGGTCCAGTCTTTCTCTTTAGAAAAGAGGAAACAAAAACAAGTTAATGTTAGAATTCAGATTAAGTTTATGATTCTTTTTCCTTCCATTCATTTGAGAAGTGTGTTGAGGGCTGGGGGTGTAGCGTGCTTGCCAAGCAAGAACAGAACTCTGTGTTCAGCTTGGCAGCAGTGGTTCATGCCTTTAATCCTAGCTATGTGGAAGATTAGCCCTGGAAGATAGTTTGCCAGACCACATCTCAACCTATATCTGGGCTCAGTGGCACCACTTGTCATCCAAGCAACAGTGGGAACCCTAAATAGGATGATAGCAGTCCAGACCAGATAGAGGCCCTATCTCCAAAGTAACCAGTGCCAGAAGACCTGGAGGCATTTCTCAGGTGGTAGAGGATTTGCCTTGCAAGTACAAAGCCTAGAGTGCAGTAGAGCACCTGGCTAGCAAGCATAAGGCCCTGAGTTCAAACCCTAATGTCACCAAAATAAAAAGGGGGACCCTGAGTTTTAATTCCAGTACCACAAAAGGAAAGACAACAATATTGGCATTTGAGATGTACATGGAGACCCAAAGTTGTATAGTAAACTTAGAAATGAACCTAATACATGTGATGAATCGATTGGTTTTCCTCACATTCTTCAATTGATTTTTGACAGCAGTGCCAAGACCATTCATGGGGAAAATGATGGTCTTTTGTCAACAAATAATTATGGAAAACTAGACGTGCAAAAGAGTGAATGTCTTGTACCTTTTAAAGAAAATTAAAAATGGATTAAAGACCGAACTTAAGAGCTAAAAATATAAAACATAGGGGAAATTTTTCATGACGTCTTAGAGATGACACCGAAAGCACAGGCAGTAGAGGAGAAAGATACCTACTTAGATTTTATCAATCTCAAAAACTTTTTTTTTTTTGCAGTACTGGAGCTTGAACTCAGGGTCTAGCCTTGAGCCACTCTACCAGTCCTTTTTTATGATGGATATTTTCGAGATAGCCTGGGCTGGCTTCAAACCCCAATCCTCCTGATCTCTGCCTCCTGAGTAGCTAGGATTACAGGCGTGAGCCACCAGCACCCGGCATCAATCTTAAAACGTTTTGTGCATAAGGTGTGATGGTGCATGACTGTCATCCTAGCCACGTAGGAAGCAGAAGCAGGAAGTTATGAGTTATGAGTTATGAGGGCAAAGTTAGTGAGGCCTAACTAAAAATAAAGTTCTTGTGCTACAACAGTTTGCCTAGCATGTGTGGCCCTGGGTTTCATCCCAGGTTCCTAAAAGACAGCAACCTTTTGTGGCTCGAGATGTAGCTCAGTATTAGAGCCCATGCCTAGCATACACAAAGCCTTGGGGTCCATCCCCAGTACTGCAAAAGAAAAACAACAAGTTTTGTACATCAGAGAACACTGTCCAGGGAGTGAAAAAATTAGCCCACAGAATAGGAGAAAATTTTCCAAATGATATATCTAATATGGAATTTAGTATGCACAACACATAAAGAACTATGCCTCAAAAACAACAAAAATATTGAAAACTGGGTAGAGGACTGGACTAGACATTTTTCCATAAAAGATACACAAATGGACAATAAGGACATGAAAAATGCTCAACATCTTTAATCATTAGGAAAATGTAAGTCAAAATCACAGTGAGAGCTGGGATGTAGCTCAGTGGTAGACTGCTTGCCTTGCATTCTAGAGGCTCTGACTTCAGTCCTCAGCACCAAAAACAAAACAAAAATCCTTCTGTGTATTGTTTGTGACAAAAAATATTTTTTTCAAACTATAATAAGAAATAGCTATACTTTCTGCTGTGAGTTGTAACTTAAGTATGTTTATACATTTCACCTCTGTTAATGTAGACCATGTCTTCTCATTTTTCATTTTGTTGTAACAATGTGGAATCCATCAATCCATAGAATAAAATACTAATTGCTTGCATATTTCTAAAAAAAAAAAAATCAAACTATCCAAAAACTCATCATCAGTTAACTTCCCATCCATCAGAAGGATGGCTAGTTTTTACAAAATGCAAAACAACAAATGTTGGCAAGGTATGGCAACATCACAACCCCCATGAATTGATGGTCAGTGTGGAAAATGGTACAGCTTCTATGGAAAACAGTTTGGTAGTTCTCAGAGTTGTCATAAAATTAGCATAAGATTTCACAATTCCACTTCTTATTTTATACCTGAAAGAATTAAAGCAGAGACTCAGACAAATCATTGTACATCATTCATAGCAACATTTTTCAGAATAGTCAAAGGTTGGAAGCACCCCAAGTAGCCATGAGCAAGTGAATGAATAAGCAAATGTGATATAAACATATAATAGAATATTTTTCAGCCTCAAGGAAAAATGAAATTCTGATTCATGATACAACATGGATGAAGCTTAAAGATTTTGCTAAGTGAAATAAACCTGACACAAATGGAGAAATATATTCTGTGGTTCTGCTTACATGACGTATCTAGAATAGCAGATTCATAGAAACAGAAAAGAAGATGGAGATTACTAGGAGCTGGAGGGAAAGGGGAGTAGGGAATTGTGAGTGGGTACAGAGTTTCTGTGTGGGATGATGAACAGGTTCTGAAAATAAATGATGGATTCACAGCATTGTGATACATCAAATACCACTGAATTGTATGTTCAAAATAGTTAAGATGATGAATTTTATATATTTTGTACATTTTACCATAAAAAAATTAACTCAGGCTGGCGGTTTAGCTCAAAGGTTCAGCACTTGCCTACCTTGCATGAGGCCATGGGTTTAATACTTAGCACTACAGAAAAAATTAATAGTTACTGAAAGTGGCTCATAGAGCCTATTGTGAGACTAAAAGTTTGGAAGTGTTAGGAGAAAGCATAGGAGTGAATCTTGGACTCTTAGATGAAGCATCAAAAGTATTGATGACAAAAGGAAAAAAGTATATAAATTGGACTTCTTCAAAATTAGAGAGGTTTGTGGTTTACAGAACATCATCAAGAAGCCAGGTGTGAACTTGTTGTCCTCCTTCCTCAGCCTCCCAGTTGCTGGGCCTGTAGGCTTGGCCACCACACCTGTCTAGTCCGTTTTTTAATGAAAAATCAAGTAGTATAAAAATGTACAAGGTTTGAGTAGAATACCCCAGAGATAATTGTTATTAATCTATGTAGGCCTGGGTGTGTTTCTCAAGTGATAGAAGGCTTATGTAGCAAGGGTGAAACCTTGAATATAAACTCCAGTATCCCCCCCCCAAAAAAAAACCCACACATATAGAGGTGGGTCAAAGATGTTATAATTATACATATATGCAGATGTATTTACATTTTTGATAATGATTTTTTGATGTATCTTTGTTATTTATTATTCATAGAAAATACACCTGACTCCATCCATTGACTTCTATAAGAAATTAGCCTTGGACTGTTCTGGTCAACAGGTAGCTGTTGACTTATTCCTTCTCAGTGGACAGTATTCTGATTTGGCTTCTCCGGGTAAGTTCTTCATGATTGTTTTCTTCAGTGAATGGTGAAATGACATATGACGTTATTCTAAGTAGAAGGCAATGTAAGAGCATTTATTCCCTTGAATAATGCCCAGGCTGGTCTCAATTTCCCCTTCCCCCAGCCTTCTAAGCAGCTGGGGCTGCAGGTGTGCACAATAGCCTCCTGCTGATCAGTTTAACCAGTAATAAATCTTATAGTGGGCTATGCTAATTTAGTAGGAGAGAAATAGAGAAGTTTCTATACCACTAATGGATTATTCTTTTTGACAGGACCTTGAGAAGTTAGAGAAAAGCTGAGTGAAATGCCTGCAGTTACTTTGGTGTGGTAATAGTAGCATCATTTAAAAGGAGTTTGTGGGAGTGTCAGAAGGAGGAGCATTTGGGGTTGGGAACCAGCAGGAGTCTGGAGGATGAGAGGGGTGAGTAAGTATTTTGTACCCAAGTATGAAAGTAGAGTTGTCAGACCCGTTAAAAATTGTTTAAAAATGGGGGGAGGAAGATAAGAACGAGTATAGTGGGGTTGACTCTGATCAGAGCTCATTATATGCGTGTATGGAAATATCATAACAAAACCCCTTGTGTAATTAATATATGCTGGTAGAAAAGAGGAGAAAATGAAATTAAAAGGTCTGATGTTAGTACTCTAAGTAAGGCAGATCTCAACTGGTGAGACAGTGGTCTGTGCTTATAAACTCATAATAAGCACCAGAGCAGCTAGCACAAGGCAGTATATGAAGACATACAGAAATGCATTGAGAAATAATTTTTTTTTTAAAAAAAAGAACTGTGTGCCTGGAGGCTGAGGCAGGAGGATCATAAGTTTGAGACTAGCCTGAGCTATGAAGTAAGACACAGTCTCAAAACAGAACGTTAAAAATTAATATATAAGATTGGCAGAATTAAAAAATGTTTATTTCTCCAGATACTGACTGCTAATTAGGGAAAGTGTTCATACTAAACATGCTTAAGACTTTCTCTACTTGATGAATCAGAGGTTATTTTTATTATCTTACTTTTCATAAAGAGACTGGGAACTGGGATGAGGAATGGTTCAGTGCCTGCCTAGCAAGTACAAGGCCCTGAGTTCAAATCTCAGTGTTCCCCATGCCCCTACCCCCAGCCCCTAAAAAAAGGTAAGGGTAGGAAGAGCCTGGGAAAATGCCAACAAACTAGGCTTGAGCTTCTCTACAGAGTGCCTAACTGAAAACTGTGTGGTTAACTGGCTTAGTTTTTTCTTTTATGATCAATTAATTTCATTAGAAATCATTGATAGGAGATGGGGTGGGTACAGCTGTATGTAGACGGCATGTTTAGCATGTCTGAGGCCCTGGGTTCAATCCCCAGCACCACAGGGGGAAAAAGATGAAGTATTAAAACATATAAAAAGAGAAACATAGTCCACTAGGTCCCATTCTTTGGCTTCTGACATCCCTTTAAAAGTTTTCCCGTACAAGGTAAGCACATACTTTAGCCTTAATTCCAGGTCAAAAAGATGACTCTCACAATCACGGGGATTTTTTATGGGGTGGGGAAGAAATAATAAGGCACTTCAGTTGTCGTAGAGGAATAAATTCAAATGAATGAAACATAAGAGGACATAACATATGTGAATGACCAACCTGCCAAACACCAGGGAAATTAATATTAAAGCCAGGACAGGGCACAAAGCAGACATTAAAACCTCCCACTAGCCAAGTGTGAGTAAGGGTGGGCAGGGCCATTTAGAGCCTGTGGGCACCAAGTACTGAAGGAATCCCCCAGAAATGCTTTCCCCACCTAGGGGTGTGGCTCAGTTACTACTGAGCCTGCCTTGCATACATAAGATCCTGGGTTCCCTCCCAAAAAGAAAAAAAAAAAAATCTGCAAGAATTGCTCTCCTACCATATCCATGAGAACTGTCTAGCAGGTTTGGGGAAATGGTGTATTCACAGATCCAAAAGTACCCACAGGGATCTGGCTCCATGGGACCTGCAAGAGCCATAGGCACAGACCCTCCCCCCCTCAAATATTCAGAACCATCCTGGGCCTGATCTGCCCTCAATCTGCCATGCTACCTCCCTCTTTGTACCCAGGTGCCAATGCAGAGATAGAAAGTCTCTGGAAGGCCTCTAGGGCTGAGGGGAGCTCCCTGGACTTCACAGTGTCTGACCAGAAATCGGGATCAGACTTCAGGCTGTGGTAGAAGAAGCTGTCCAGACTGAAAAGATGAAAGGAGCAGTGCTTTGTGATCAAGTCACTTCCAAATGCTGGTTATAATGGAGAGCCAGGAATGGCAGGGCAAGGGGGTGGGGCGGGGTTTGTAAAATGTTCTGCTTTTGGCACTTTATTTTCAGTGGTCGTAGCTGTTGTTGTAATCTCCGGAAAACCAAACAATGGGTCCAGGATTTTTTTCTTTTCTTTTTTTTTTTTGTTTTTTTGTTTTTCTGTACTGGGGTTTGAACTCAGGGCCTACACCTTGAGCCACTCCACCAGCCCACCTCCCCCCCCCTTTTTGTGATAGGTTTTTTTTAAGATAGGGTCCCACAAACTATTTGCCCAGGCTGACTTCAAACCATGATCCTCCTGATCTTGGTCTCCTGAGTAGCTAGGATTATAAGTATGAACCACTGGGGCCTAGCTTTTTTTTTTTTTTTCTGCTGGTTTTATGTCATTTTCCTGCCTTAACAATGAACTTAGCTGGGGCAGTGGTGGTTCACACCTATAAGCCTTAGCTACTTGAGTGATTGAGTTCAGGAGGATCAAGGTTTGAGGCCAGCCTGGGCAAATACCTTGTGAGACCCTATCTTCAAAATTAGCAGAACAAAATGGACTAGAGGTGTGCCTCAAGCATTAGAGTGCCTGCTTTGCAAGTGCAAAATTCTGAGTTCAAACTCCAGGACTCCCCCTTGCGCCCCCCCCCCCCAGAAAAAAAGAGTTCCTCACAGTCCTTAAGGATCAAATACATTTGGAACCACACCTGCACATCATACTCCTTCAGGTTGAGCCTGGTAGCCAGGGCCACCTGGTCTTATAGTCAGGGTACCCATCCACCTTGAAGTGTTTCTCTAGCTGCAGATGATGTTCCCTGCTGTAGATGCTGGCAAGGGAGCTTGGGGCAGTGTGAATCTGGCAAGTCACCAGGCTTCTGCATGCTGGCTCCCGCTCTGCTGTGCTCCATGAGATGCTCACATGTTTTTAAACCACATCATGGACATCTGTTTTTGTATGTGCAGAACTGTATCTTTCTTGTTTTAAAGTTAGTTTTTATTTCACAATATATGCATCTGTTTTTCTTTAAAATACAAATATTTTATACATGCATTATGCATGTATATATTTGCATATATACCTATTGCTAAAGCTAAATTCCTTCCATATCAGCTTGATTGTACACACAATTACATCCTTATGTATTTACTGTAACCACTTTGGTGCATAACAGGATTTTCTGCTTTTGGCTTAGGTACAACTGCATGGAAAGTACATAGATGGTGTATTTGCATAAATGACATGCTCACTTAATAAACTTTAAAGATCCCTTCATTTTAGTTTATATAAACCTATCCCATTCTGTTTAATGTCTACCTAATTTCACTAAAAGGAACAAATCACAGTTTAGTTATTTTACTACTGATAACCAGTGATGGTGATTTTTAAAATTTTTTGCTGTGACAAATCTGTTTAAAATGTTTTTGCACAAAGAAATGTGCACTTGAATGAGTATATCTATAGCATAAATTCTTAGATAAGAGATTGCTAAAGTTCAAATAATGTTAATATGTAGAGCCAAATTGTCCCTCCCAGAAAGCGTTTTGAAGGTTGTATCCTCACCTTTATTTAAGAAGACACCTATCCCCCTCAATCTCACTAAATCCTCTCTATTATCTACCTATTTTTAGTATCTCATAAGTGACTAGGATAAAGTGTAAATATCCAGAGGCAGGCATATAAAGTCATTTTAAAATTTGTTCTCGCCTAGTTCTCACCATTCACACTTTCCATGGGAACTTCTTTGTCTGCTCCACAGACTTCCTGTCTCTGCCCAATGTCAACCCAGATGCCAGGTATACAGTACAGATGTCAGCGGAAAAGAGTCTTCCTGACATGCAGTTGGGTTCTTTTCAGTCAGCACTCTTGTATACATCAAGCAAAGGTAAGTTTTTGTTTGCTTTATTGTCACAAAAACCACAACATAAGCTCTACTGTGTTAACGTTCAGCACAGTATTGTAGTAAAGGTACGTTTGTTCATGTAGAATGTCTTCTTCTGAGTATGAGAGACTCTTTGGAGTAATTAGGAATGCCTGTTCAGCCAAAAGAGTGTTCCTGATCATAAGAGCTTTGTTGTTATTCTTGGTAAAGCCATGGTGTTTATTTTCCTAGACCATTTTACATTTTATTCACACATTCTTTTCTTTGGAGTCAGGATCTTACTGTATAGCCCAGGCTGGCCTCGAACTCATGTTCCTCCTGCTTCAACCTCCCAAGTCCTGGCATTATACTCATGGGCCACCATACTCAGCCATAAATACTCATTGAGAGTCTGTTTTGTAGCAGACATTCTGTGCATCAGTTTAAAAATCCCTTTATTGAGCTGTGCTCTGGCCTGTATTCCAGTGCTGGGGAGCCTGAGGCAAGAGGATCACTTGAGCCCAGGAGTGCTAGAACAGCCTGGGCAACACAGCGAGACCCTGTCTCAAAAAAAAAAAAATTATTGCATAGATTTTAGTTCTATTAGTGAGTCAGATAATAAACAGGATAAACAGTGTAATAGTTAAGGAGAAAAGCAGAGCAGGTAAGGGTATAGGAAGTGCTCGAGTTGCTATTTTAAGATGGAGTAGCCAGGGAAAGACCTCGTCCAGTGGACGTTTTGAAAGGACTTGTGCTGGAGACAGACAGCAGTTCTTAAGGGTGGGACTTGTTCATTCCTAATTAACATCTAATTTGTGTTTTATTCTGAGGCATGTTCAATTTACTTTTTTTTTTGGTGGCACTGGGGTTTGAATTCTAGGCTTCACACTTGCTAGGCAGGCTAAACTCTACCACTTGAGCCGCTCTGCTAACCCTTTTTTCTGCTGAGTATTTTGAGATAGGGTCTCGTTTTTCATTTTCCCTGGGCTGGCCTTGAAACTCAATCCTCCTGATCTCTGCCTCCTGAGTAGCTAGGATTACAGATGTGAGACACCGGTGCCCGTCTAGACATTTATGTCTTACTTGACAGAACAAAACAAGACTGGGCACTGGAAGAATTTTTTCAATTTTGGATTTTTTTCAAATATTTGATTATTTGCATGTACATTATGAGATATCTTGGGGATGGGATCAGATCTTAACATAAAGTTCACTTGTGTTTCCTATACATCTTACAGACATAGCCAAAGATCATTTTATACAATATTTTAGTGTGCCTTCATTTTGACCGCTACCCTACCCTCATGTCTAAGGAGCGGGATTTTCCACTTGTGGTGCTTGAAAGATTTCAGAGTTTGGATATTTGGGTTCAGGTTGCTCAACCTGTAGTGTGTAGACTTTTGAGTCTGGCTTCCTTTACTTAGCATTTTGAGATTCATCCACATGCTGCATCTTAGTGATTTACTCCTTTTTATTCCTGAGTAGTTTCTTGCTGTGTCCAGTTTGTTTATTCACATCCCAGATGAGCTTACCATGCAGAAGGTCCTGGGTTCAATCCCCAGCAGAGAAACAGAGAGAGAGAAAGAGAGAGACAGACAGACAGAGAGACAGAGAGAGAGAGAAGAGAGACAGAGAGAGAGAGAGAGGAGAGAGATAATTTGATGATTCTTAAAAGTTTTCATTTTTACTTTGAATTACTGATAGTTGTTGTAGGTAACTAGCAAAGAAAGGGCATTGTAACTACTAATCTATTTCCTTTAATTTTTTTTTTCTGTGTTTAAAAAGAGTAAAATTAAAGCTAGGAGCATTGCTCAATTGGTAGAGGTCTTGGGTAGCAAGTGTGAAGCCCTGAGTTCAGACTCCAGTACTGCAAATAAAATAAATAAATAAAATAAAAATTTTCTGAACTTAAAAAAGGCCACAAAGCACACTAGCATATTGGCAGGTGTGCTGACAGATACCTGTAATTCCAACACTCATATGGCTGGGCCAGCCTGGGCTACATAGTGAGTCCTCCTCTCAAAAAAGAAAGCGGGGTGGTGGGGGGGATATAGAGAAAGAAGTGGAGAAGGAAGAAAATGCTAGGATATTATCATTTAAATATGCTCCCTGTTATCTGTTTAGTAATACTGTAAATAAAGAGTTTTATACTCAAAAAATAATAATAAAAAAAAACTTTATTGTTGTCACAGACTAGAGTGTTGATAGCATCTCTGCTTCCTATATGACACTACTTGGTTCTATAGTGAAAAGACCTGACTCTAGCATAATCTTTTTTGAATGTAGCTGTCCTTACTATCATGTGTTTTCCCCAAAGGTGAAAGAAGAATACTATCCGTACTTTGTGTTTGCCAGTAGTTTCAACTCTGAATGAAGTCTTTCTGGAAGCTGATGTTCAAGCAATTTCAGGGTTATTGGCCAATATGGGTAAGAGTGGATATCACTTGTAAATATTTTACAAGTAAAACCATTAAGCAAATTCACATATTTTGTTTTCTTGTAAATGATTAGCTTTATAGGTTTCAATTTGGGTGCTTATAGCTATGTCAATAAAAAGATCTGCCACAGATAATACTTTTTGCTTGTTTAAACAGCGCTACTGAGATAGAATTATTGTCACAGGACTGCACCATTTTAATTGTACCATTCCATTGTTTTTAGTCTATCTACAGAGTTGTGCAGCCATCATCGCAGTCTGAGTTTAGAGCACTTTTATCTTCTGCCCATAAGCAATTAGCGGCACTCCTGCCTCCTTCCCTCGCTTGCCTTGTCCCCAGTAAACTGATTTCAGTCTCTGTACTCATCTGCTTTGGACTTAATAACCATGCTACCCAGTGTTTAATGTCGGTACTTAGTAGGATTGTTTATAACAGTGCTTTATGAGCACAGTAGCTTGGATAGTAAGAGGTGGCAGGGCACTATAAAGATTGTTAGACCTGTAGTCATGAAATTTGAGATTAAAAACTAGTTTACTACCACACACATGTTCACAGCCTTCCCAAATCTTGTGTGCTAGGAGAAAACTTATTTGGGTCTTTAACTATTTACTTCCATCTCAGATCTAGTTGTCATTTTGATTCTCTTGTCCCGTTTTCAAATGCAGAGTTTAACATCAGTTTGGTTCTTACATCCTTTCTCCCTCAGGGAAGCCTTTCATAAGATTGATTTCTTTCACATTTCGATGTGCCTTTCACAGAAATAGATACCCCTTTTCTGAGTTTCCTATAGGGAAAATTTTCTTTCATGGAGCCTCAGTTTAGTTTTAGCTTTGTTCATAGCGTTTTTCATTTGGTTCTTTTGTTTTGAGACAGGGTCATGCTATATACCTCCTAAGCACTGGGATTACAGGCATGTAATTTACATGTTTCCCTAACTGCTCTGTGTCTCTACCTCACCTCCCAAAAAAATAGAGAACTCTGGAATCATGGAATAGGCTTATTTATCCAGTGTCTAGCATTTAATGTCCAAGCTTACAGACTTCAAGTAATCTTCTCATAGCATTTTATCTACAAGCTCTTGATAATAGTGCTTTTTGATAAAAAGTACTGATCAGGGCTGCTTTAGATCTTGTTTATTTCTGTGTTTTTCTGAATTTCCAAGATCTGCTTGCCTGGTGTGTGTAATCTCTTTTAGATGCTGTGGGCAACCTGCTCTCCCCTCATAGGAAAGGCTCTAGTTTCAAGGTACATATTTCCATTTTGGAATATAAGTACACAGAAGTAGAGCTTCTCCCTCTACTTCAGGGTTTTTTTTGTCATTGTTTTGATTTTTTTCTCATATCTGTCTTCCTTCTCAGGTTTTCTGTCTATTTCTATTTAACATGCACCGCTTCATCCTTCCCTTCCCTACAACACCCTGACATGTCTGACTCTTCCATTCTAGGTTTTTTCTGAAGCACATATTACTGACCAGGTATTTTGCTTATTTATTATTTTCTTCTCCTTGTATAGAATGCAGTCTGACATAACCATAGGGCTTTTATCTTTTTCATTCACTACTTTGTTCCAGCACCTAAACAGTTCCCTGCATAATAGCTGGGGATGTGGCTCAAGTGGTAGAGTGCAAAGGCCTAAGTTCAAACCACAGTACTGCCAAAACAATAAACAAAAATCCAAAACAAACATAATAGACACTCATTAAATATTTTTAATGTGTACTTGGAGCTTTGCTTCTTTCATTTCCCGTAGTACTTGCCTCCTTCTTAGTGACTGTCCACATACTAATTTCAAAAATCATACAGCTTTTTGTTTTTTCATTCAATGACACTTGTTGGAAGCACAGTAGGAGACTACATGCAGCTCTGAATGCCTCATGGGTAGTTGGGAATTTTAGAAAGAGTAAGGTGGGGTTGATGGATAGAAAATTACTAATAGGTACCATCAAGATTACCAAGGACTATTGGCACACCCGTGTGATGCCAGCATTTGGTCTGCTGAGGCAGGATGATTGTGAGTTCAAGACCAGCCTGGGATACCTATTGAGACACTGTCTCAAAGGAACAGAAAAAAAAAAGAGTAAAGGGGCTTCTTGCTAACAAGATTCTTATGAAGATAGTCCAGGGTAATTAGACATCAGCTGGGGGATGATGGAGAATGATGAACCTGATGAGTTGTAGAGAGTGATCAGATATTGAGGGTGGGGGTTCTTGCTAAAACTGGATTTTATAAGAAAGGTCACAGATAGGACCAGAGAAAGTTTAGTTTGGTAGGCTGAGTCATGGTGGTGCATGCCTATAATAAAAGGCAGAGGCAGATATCAGGAAGATCAAGATTTGAGGCTAGCTGGGAAAAAGTTGGTGAGATCCCTTCTCAACACACAAGCTGGGCATGATTGTGCACCCCTGTGATCCCAGCTATGCATGAGGCATATTTAGGAGGATTGCTGCCAAGGCCAGCTGGGGCAGAATAGTGCAAAAGGACCGGTGGTGTAGCTCAAGTGGTAAAGCACCTGCTTAGCAAGGGTAAGACCCTGAGTTCAAACGCCAGTACTAGGAAGAAAGAAAGAAAAAGAAGGAAGGACATAAAAAAGGAAGGAAAAGCAAAAACAGAGAAAGGAAGAGAGTTGGTTTCGTCAGGCAGAGAGTGTGTAACAGGACACAGGAAGTTCAGTGCCCAGGCCCTGTCCCCATAGCACTGATGCGCTGCAGCCCTGGGAAGTAGGCGGCTGCACAAGTGCAGGTGCTCATGGGCATCAGAAGCCCAGCTGGTTCTGAGGACAGTGACCCAGCATGGGCACCGCCAGGACACGTGAAGGTGTGTCAGTATGACACATGAGCAGTGCTCTCTTGTCCCTCATAAATTGCGCTTCCCCCAGGGTTCCTCGTAGTCTTTTATTTAGCCGGTGCCCTTGCTTTAGTCCTATCTCATTCCTGTTTTCTCTGCCTCTTTTACCCCTTTCCGTCCCCTGGAAACCTTTACCTCAAAACTTCATCATTCTCCATGAAGCTAATACACTATTTAAATGTCACTCTTGCTTATGAACTCTTTTGTACTTAGTAGTCATCATTTGTATTACTACTTTTCATCATTGATTTGCAAGCTTTGGTATCTTGATTAGTTTCTCTAAGTGTGGGAGAAACAGAGACAGCCACCACTCATTATCATGCAGCATTGGTAGAACACTTAGTGGATACCATAGCCCGTCATGTGTGCCTTTGTCATCTGCTACGTACTGACGTCCTTCCTGTGATACTGCTTAGATTGTTACATCACTGTCACTATGTCATGGTAGATAGTAGACCTATTTTATGATGAGGAAACATATAAGATAGCTTTGCCATGGTCAGTTCATTAACTGCTCCAGACTTTTAGGTGACACTGTAGACACAAGTTAATACACGTATATGACTTCTTAGAATATTTTTTGAAACAATAATTCATAGTAAATTTGGAAATTCTGTCTGACATTTACAAAATTCTGTACTTTTTAAATGTCTTCTTTTGGTGGGCACGGGGTTTGTTTTTCATTACAGAAATCATTCCAGACTGGACAAACGTGTATCTAGAAGAACACATTTTGCTGTGTCAAGTGCAAACCCAGCCCTTGGTTCACCTTATGCTCACAACTCATCCCAGTTTGTACAGAATTGACAATCTCTCAGATGAGGAAAGATGGATTCCTTTTTTTAGTGGCTTTTTCTAGATGTTTTCTAAGCGTAATCATACTCATTCCAGTGCTGAATTGAGAAGAGGTTTGTTTGTTATCTAAAGCTTTATATTTTTATCTTTTTGCTAGTTATATGTAGAGAGATACTGGTTCAGGGAAGCTCCTGAAAATAGTACCTTTATTTAGTTTCCTAAGTCAAGTCTCTAGAACAGATGTAAGAAATAAAGAAAATGTCAAGTTGACCAGAGCAGCCTATTTATTTAAACAAATTGATCTGGAAGATGTATGGTAAGAGTGAAATGACATCTGAGTACCCTAGGTCCATGTTCAATGTAATGCTGTCTTTGAAGTAAAGGGAAAATATTTATCTGAGTTGTAATATTTTGCTTTTGATAGGAAATTTATTAAAGTCATATTATTTATTGCCATATTTATTAAAGTTAAAGCATAAAAATGTTAAATCATCATCTATTTACAGTTGTGCTCAAGTTAGTATATGTAGAGATAGGGAGTAATGTTTTGGTTAAAATCTTTCAAAATTTTTTAAAAATTTAAGATATCTTTTGTATTCATTATTTTTATCATCTTTGACAAAATATCTGACAAAAATCACCTAAGGGAAGAAAGATTTATTCTACCTCACCGTTTCAGAGGTGTCAGTCCATCATGGTGGGGAGGTGTTGTGGATCAGAGCAGTTCCCATCATGCAGCCAGGAGCAGAGAAAAGGAACACAGGAACCAGCCAGGGCAAGATATTCCCTTCAAGGACACCCCAGGGACCTTCTTCCTCCAACCAGGCCCCACCTCCCACCTTCACCTCCCCCCAGTAATGGCATCAAACTATGAATCAATTAAGGAGTTTTAATCCATCCAGAGAGCTCATGATGTAATCGTCTCTGCAAACACCATCTCAGACGCCCCAGAGGTGTGTTCTCTGGTCTCCTGTGTGCTTCTCAATCCAGTCAAGGTGACATTTAAGGTGTTGTATGACAGGAGAGGTTAGCACTCCCTTGACAAGGATGGAAGGGCCCTCGGCCCTGACAACACCCACGTGGTGAAGACATTGCTGCCTACTTCATGGCATTTAACCATGGTTAAAAAATTTAAAGAGTTGACAGGTAAGATTAACCATCACGTAAAGGAGAAACAGGAGGTAATTTTTTTACAAATGAAAATTGTTCTTAACATTATTAATTTGTATTACAAAAAAATCTTACTTATTTGATAAGTTCAATTAACTAAACTTAAATTTCCCTCTCTCTCTCTCTCTTTTTTTTTTTTTTTTGAGACAAGGTCTAACTGTGCATCCCAGGCTGGCCTTGAACTCTAAATCCTCCTCACCCCCTGAGTGCTAGGAGTACAGGCCCATGCCACCATACCTGGTTCAGTCTTACTTTTTTCCTCCCATTAAAAAATAGCAGCATAGCAAGTTGACATGGAATTTTAATGTTGTTGATTTTGTGTCTATAATATCGTAACTATCAGGAAGAGAGGAGGCTGCAGATGTGGCTGGGTAGTGGAGAGCCAGCTTAGCAAGTAGGATGCCCTCAGTTCAGCACCACTAAAAAAAATGAGAGACAAGTAAAGCACTCCTAATACTTTCTGAGAGAAACAGTGTTAACACGTCATTCTCTCTCCCTTCCTCCTCTTCTCCCCTCATTTGGAATTTAGATTTACAGGTCAGTTACAAATACAATGCAGAAAGTTCTCACCCCCATCATTTTACTCGGATGTGTGTGATGGTTCACACCATCGTCCATCTCCTTGGGAAGTGAGGCGAGAGGATCACCTGAGCCCACAGGTTTGGTCCACACCATCGTCCACCTCCTTGGAAAGTGAGGCGAGAGGATCATCTGAGCCCACAGGCTTGAGACCAGCCTAGGCAACACAGGCAGCCCCGTGTCAAAACAAAGAAAGAATAGAAAATTTTAAAATGTTTTCAGCTGGCGTGGTGCCAAGGGAGGAGGATGGTGAGGTTCAGGCCGTCCTGGACTGCATAGTGAGAGCCTATCTCAAATAAATACATCAACATAAAGTAAATTACAAAAGCATGATACTCTTGTGAAATCCAGTAAATTCAAATCGATTGCTGTACTACTATTAACTAATTCCAGATGTTATTTGGACCTCACTGACATCATTTGTTCACTCTACAGCATTATATAGTGTTACATAGGATTGCATTTGCTTTTGAAATAATAGTTAGGATCAGAAGTTAATTTGGATTTCTTGGGATTTAAGCAGCTTTGTTTTAGCTTCATCTTCTTCATATTATGAATAACTGTGATTGGCCTAAGTGAGTAAGGCCCAAACTCTTGGAGGTAACACTCCTTTACTTGCTTTTTTTCTTCCCTGTGACTCTCCTACCTGTGTCTAGCAGCTGTGATCACCTCCTCACTTCCTCGGGGAGCCCTCAGCATCAATGACAGAATCATCCCTCAGCCCCCTGTTCTTCAGCTCTCCACGGAGAAACTGAGCAGAGATGGCGCTTTCCTCCTGGATTCAGGCTCTGTGAGTAGTTTGACTTCCTGACCCCCTCACTGTACCACTGTTCCTTTTTAGCATTAGGTTTCCTTCCCCATGGTATCTCTCTTCTTGAATAGATTTGTACTCTTTGCTCTACATGTATTTGTGTCAGCCATTTTCTCCCACCACTGCCTTTTTCCATGCCAGGTGTCACTGTGGTAAATACTAGTTGTTTTTAGTCCTGTTATGAACTGTACAATCTCTGTAAATACACGCATCCTTCTGACCTTTCAAAATACTCCCAGAGGTGTGGTGCCAACACTTCCTATGAGGCATCCTCTAAGATAATTTTACTCCTATTCACAGGCACTGATGCTTTGTGTTGGGAAAAACTGTGCAGAGTTTTCTCCACCAAGTGGTAGGAGTTCCAAACTATGCATCAATTCCACAGACTATGGTAAGACTTTTACTTCAGTGACTATAGACTTAAAGGACATGTCAAGTGAGGCAAAAACATGACTATCACATTTTGAAATCAGAAATCAACACTCCAAATTTCTCCCAAAAAGAAAACATTTCGTTTTGTGTGTGTGTGTGTGTGTGTGTGTGTGTGTGTGTGTGTGTGTGTTTCCATACTGGATCTTGCTGTGTTTACTGGTCTATGACCTCATGGGCTTAAATGGTCCTTCTATGTCAGCCTCCCAAGTACCTGGGACTACATGGGCTTGCCACCATGCTAGTTGATATTATATTTTAATGACTTTCTTTTTTCCCTGTTTTCTTTGAGACAGTGTCATCATGTATGGCCAGGCTGGGCTGGAACCCACAATGCTCCTACCTCACCTCCTAATCTAAGAATGACATTCTTAAGCCAGTTGTCATTGGCTTACGCCTATGATTCTAGCTACTCAGGAGGCAGTGATCAGGAGGATCACAATTTGCAGCCAGCCTGGGCAAATAGTTCCAGAGAACTTATTTTGAAAATACCCAATACAAAAAAGAACTGGCAGTGTGGCTTAAATGGTAGAGTGCCTGCCTAGCAAGGGTGAGGTCTGAGTTGAAATCCCCCAGTACTGTCAAAAAAAGAGAGAATGGCATTCTTCGTGTGACTTCGCATTGACTTGTCTATGTTTAAGACAGTGTTCTATTTGGAGGAGAAAGCAATGAATTTAGTTAATGACCAAAAAAAGAGTTTACTACAAATGATATTAGTGTTGTGAGTCTCTCTCTCTGTCTTTCTTTCTCTCTCTGTTTCTGTTTTTCTTTTTTTTTCTGTGAGACTGGTGCTATGCCTTACACATTGTAGGGAAGGAGTCTACCACTGAGCTACAACCCCATTCTGGTGTTGTTTTGTTCTTGGTAAGTGATTTTTCAGTCTTTGGAAGGGCCTTTCCTTTCCTCTTCTCTCCTCTCCTCCCCTCCCTCTTTTCTTTGGGGGTGGAGTAGGGACAGAGGATTGTATTGAAGACCTGTCATTTGCCAGGCAGGTGCTTAGCAGCGTCTTTTTTTTTGTTTTTTTCGGTAGGACGGGTTTGAATTCAGAGCTTTATGCTTATAAAGCAGGCACTCTACCACTTGAATGTTACCTCCAGTCTTTGGCAGGGTCTTTGAAAGTGCTGTTTTGAAGTAAGAACTAAACTACTTGAAATTCTGGTTTAATTTAGCAAATGACAGGTGGTCACTGTCAGTTGGATTAATATTGGTTACTTAAGATAGGAATAATAGACCTTTGTGTATCACTAGCCATGTGGTCTTGGCCAAGTCACTACAAATAGTCTTGTAAAGTAAGAATGTTCTTGCTTATGAAAGAATAGTTGAAATAGTCCCTGAGGAACCTATAGCATTTGGATAGTTTTGAATTCTAAAGTTCAAATCAATAATAGACAATCTTTCTTAGTATTTTTATTTTTCAATCCCTCTTACCAGTTTGTAGCCACCTTTGGAATATGTGTTTTATTTCATCACTTTTCCATATTGGCATGTTTTAAGTGATGGGTTCTATGTCTACATTGGTGGAGTCATTAGGCATTTCAGCTATTTAAAAAGACTGATGTGTCAAGATTCTAGCTAGGATAATTGACACCCTGGTCACTGTCAGTTGGATTATAAGACCTGGTTTTCAGACCTTGAACAAAATTACTGGACTCAGTGAGCAGGTATTTTAAGTAATGAGGAAATAAAATGTCATGTTTGTTAATAACCACCTGAATAAATCCATTTATTCTAAGGTCATAAAAATGTAGAGAAGAGTTAGGACATTCTCTTAGATCATGGAGGCCTGCCACCTATTTTGTAATTCAGGTTTTATTGGAACACAGGTGTGCCCATTCACTTACATATCGTCTATGGCCACTTTAATGTAACAGTGGCAGAGTTGAGAATTTACAACTGAGACAAAATGAACTCCAAGAAAAGTATTCACTATCTGGACCAACAAAACCACCAGGCAATTGATTCATAAGCATGGTAAAATTTGAGGAGTGTTATAGTCCTTATAATAGACACGTAACTTAAAGCTGATTGGATACTGTTGGTTTTGTCTAACAGACAGAATTTGATACACCAGAGTCGGCCAGAACAATAGCTTTTCTCTCATGGCATAGAGAGCAGAGACCATTTTTCTCAGTACTTTATGTAATAAGGTAAGTCAAGTTTTTCATTTGTGACATACTTTGTTTGGTCTTGACAAGAACCTGTTTTGAATCAGATATATGCAAACTAATACTTATGCAAATTATGTGAATATAGAAAAGAAGAAGAAAAATAATTATTTTCAGTAGATAGTACTAATTTGTGCTTTATAAACAATTATTGGAATTACTTGTTACAAAAAAACTTCACAGTTTGTTCCAATTCCACTCTACACTTTCCCTTAAACAACACAAAGTTCACACAATTAACCAAATGTTCTCAGAGAAAACCTCTAGAAGTAGCCATTTGTGTAATAAATATAATGGGTTATCACAGTAGGTCAAAAATCTGTGACAAGTCTGCTGTTTCTTTTTTTTGGCAGTACTGAAGTTTGAACTCAGGGCTTCAGGCTTGCTGGGCAGGCACTCTATTACTTGAGCCACACCTCCAGTCCTAGATCCACTCTTACCTTTACATTTTATCCAACAATAAAATTACATTTTACTTGTGAGGGATGAGAGTCCAGTGAATGCACAGTTCCTTCAAAACATGGTAGAAGACAGAACAGAATCTGCCTTGTCATATTAGGAATTCTTATTGCATATATAGCAAGTGAAAATGAAGAAATCGGACTTAGTATTGTTAAGGAAATCACAGCAATGCAGAATTCCTGGGAACTTGTCCTACCTTTGTCTTCCATTTAAGTTTGTGACTTAAATGTGGTGATTGAGATGTTTTCACTGTGATCTCAGCAAACTATAGCAAACAAAGGACCACCACAGAGAAATCAAACACGGACCTCTGAAATGCTATATTTTTAAAATCAAAATATTTCTACCATTTTTTAAATTTGCATGTATTTTCATTGTCTTTAAGAACAATGAGAATGATAGACTGTTTTGCAATAATTAGACAAAGACTTATTTCTTCTAATCAAGGATACACAACAGCTATTATGTAGGAGACCACCAAATGTGATGTCAAGATTTTGTTAACTATTACTAATATAACCCTTACATAGAAATTTTAATTTTATAAAGTAGTGTATAATTCTATAACATTAAATTCTTGTTCTCAAATTAAAATATCTATCGATCTTCAATATGCTGTGTAAAATCTTGCTTCTCTGGAATTTTACCAACAAGGTTTTTCTTCCTTTTTACAATTTATAATTTGCACTGTTTCATTCCTGTTAAAAAAAAAAAGACTCATTTGTAACCCATGCAAACAATCTTTTGATCCGTACTAACTCATGAATTTGACTTTCCAGTAAAGTTAATTAAAAGCTTACATACAGCAACTGGCAATCTTTCTTTTTTCTTGTGCTTGGATATAGGCTTTTTACAAGGTTTTAAGGTCTGCTGGGCAGACCTTTGGAGTTTCTGATTAAGGTTTTTGGTGAGATCTGAGAATTTGCATTTCTAGCAAGTTCCCAGGTTAGGCTGCTGGTCCAGGGACCTGACTGAGAATTATTGCCTCAGGGTATTGTCTGCACAGCCTCCACCTCCCCCAGTGGGTTAGGTTATTCCACCCTTGGGAGACAAGATTCAAAACAAATTTATCCTGGACCCTCCCTCTCCTGGGAAGTGGGTGCTCTAGCTGGCATCCATTTTGGAGGCCCTGGGGACAGGTCCAGAGGTCTGGCTGGCAAGGCTGTCTTGTCAAATGTTTTGGCTGGGCTTGAAAACCTAGGATCTCTTGGCATAGCTGGCAGGACCAAGTTTTTCTGGGTAACCAACTGCCCAGCATATGCTGCGCCTTGTTGAGTTTTTCCTTTTGGACTATAGTGAAAGCCTCTGAGGCTAGTGGGGAGCTGGTCTAGGCCAGATGTAAAGCAAGACCCCATCTCAAGAATAACCAATATGAAAAGGACAGGCTGAGTGACTGAAGTAGGAGAGGAAATTCCCTCCTCTTCCTCTTCTGCTTGGCTGGTGTTTAGATGCAGTGGCAGGAGCTAGAGCATCATCTTGTACCACAAGCTGTGTATGGAAGATGACAGCAATTAGAAAGGAGACTTGGCCCCTCATGTGGGAAAAGGTTATTAATACAGCTAGAACTTTTGTGGGAGAGAGAAAATTACAGACAAACCAAATAGTTCTATGTCCCCTGTATCAGTTATCTATTGCTGTCTAACAAGTCACCCCCAAAAAACTATCTGAAAACAGCACCTATTTGTGCTTGTGATTCTGTGGTTGGCAGCGCAGGCAGGCACACCTGGACAGCTCTGCTGGTCTCACCTGAGTCCTCGGGCAGCGACAGCCATCTGATGGCACGGCCTCCCTCACATGTCTGGCCGTGGAGCTGGCTGTCAGCTGAGTCACATCTGTGTCAGGTCACCTCAGCCTTCTCCTGTGGCACAAGGTTTCCCAGTAAGCAGCAAAACAGGGCAAGCCCAGTGCACAAGTGCTTTTCAAACCTCTGCTTGTGTCACCTTTGTAATGTCTCATTGGCCAAATCACAACAGATCTTGACCAGAACAACTTACTGGATCAATGTGGGAGGGGTGATGAATAGGTAAGGACGCAGGGATAGGGATTCATGGAGGAGGGGCGCTGCTACTGGAACAGCCAAGTGTGCTGTGACCATAAAAACCAACTCTGGCTAAGTAAAATTCAATGTAATCTATCAACCTAACAATGAAGAAGAAACCTCAAACATCTCAATAGATGCCAACACAAAAAGTGATAATTTTTTTTGTTGTTGGCACTGGGATTGGACTCAGTACTTTGCATTTGCAAAGCTGGCACTCTACAACTCGAGCTACATCTCACCTCCAGTCCACTTTGCTCTGATTATTTTGGGGATGGGATCTCCCAAACTATTTGCACAGGCTAGCCTTGAACTATGATCCTCCTGATCTTAGCCTCCTAAGTAGCTAGGATCACAGGCTTATAAACCACCAGTGTCTGGCTAGCATTTAATAAAATTTTAATATTGTTGTGGGAATCTCAAGCTGAGATATGGGACACTGAGGCAGTTTAGCAGGAAGCAGTTTTATTGTGCTGGCACAGACCCAGCGAACTCCTGTCCAAAGGCTGAGCCCCTAGAACAAAGGGGTCTCACCTTATATATCCTTGCAAGCAGGTTACAGAAGGAAAAAGCAAAGTCTAATCCATATATGGTTATATGCAGTTCCATAGGCTACTTTACCCCACTGCTACGTGACTTTCCCCCTCCCCAGTGTTATGTGACCCTCTCCACGCTCAGATTCCTCAGGTTTTACCTCTCTACTAAGCCATCCCTATCTCCCTGCTACTTTATCAGAACTCAGGCCTACTGTTTTTTTCTTCTGATCCTTCTCCCTGCTCCTTATAAAAACTTCAACTCAGAATTGAAGGATACTTCCTGAACCCTGATAAAGGTTATCTATCAAATACCTATAGCAAACGGTATCCTTACTGGTGAAATATTTGAGACATTTCTATTAAGGTCAGACAGGAGAGAACTCTGCTTCCTATCACTGGTAACATTCTACCTTGTACCAGATGTCTTGGACATCATGGTAAGACGAAAAAAAATAAATGAAAGGATAAAAACTACAATGGAGGAGAAATTGTACTTTTATGTGCAGGGTCATATGACTGCATGGAATTCAAGGGTGTCTGCAGGTACACTAACCTAAGAAGAATTCAGTGAGCTGACTGGATGGAAAGGTCGATAAACACATGGGAAAGACGGAATGACTTAAGAATTATATCCAAGGAGGATGTAGCTCTGTGGTAGAGCACTTGCCTAGCATGTGGGAAGCACCCTGGGTTAAATCCCAAGTATTGCAAGGTCAAAACAGAACAAAAGCCAAAAATGACAATATCCAGGAGGGTAGATGGGACCCAGGGCTTTAGGCAGGTGTGTGGCTTATTTCCCCCCCCACCCAAAAAAAATTGAAAAGAAGAAGGTGGGGGAGTTGGCACACCTGTAATCCTAGCACTTCAGAGGCTCAGGAAGGAGGATCAAGCATTCAAGGCAGCTGGGACTACACACTGAGACTCTGCCCAAGATCTCTCCCCACACCCCAAGAAGAGGAAGAGGACAAGGAATTGGAGGAGGAAGGGGAGGAGGAGAACAACAGCAGCAGCAACAACAAGAGATCTGAAGCAAGTAAAATAAAATCTCATCTGTTGCATTTGGATGGGGGATGCAAGTGTGTCTGCTACATTGTTTTCTTTCAAAGACTGTCTCTACCCTTCCACCTTGTGAGGAAATAGTAACAGGGTAACAGTCAAAGTAAGAAAGCAAAAACAAGCACTTTGGCACACTGAAGTTCCCGGGAAGTTTAACCAAGCACTTGCCGACCTGCACAACTGTGAGAAATAAATTTCTGTTAATTACACATAACCCTCTCTAAGGCATTTTGTAACAGCAGCACAAATGGGCTGTAGCACTTTTTCTCTGCTATAATTCTTAGCAGATGGTTTTATCCTTCATCACTTTGAAAATACCAACGCACTGTCTTCTGGGTTCCAAGGCTTCTGATACAAAATCTGATGAGGGAAATTATGGTGAAGTGGGCTCTCTCCCCCCCACCCCACAACAGATGTTAAAAGTGCTCCATGGTGCTTTAGGGAACACTTCTTTTTGTGACAGTGGAAGTTTGAGAACTGCTACCAAAGGATTAGTTTGACATCAGTCACTCCAGGTTTAAAGACAAAGGAATTGAATACCTTGAGTGTAGATAGGATGAGGTCTTTAAAAGCCAAATTTTATCACAGAGTTTCATATTCCAACTGAAGAGGCCATTGAAGCATCCACTGGCTTTAGCTTCACAGGGAGAAATACCAGACTCCATGACCCATCAAGGAAGAAACTGTTGGAGTAGGTTATTTTTTGAATTTTTTAAAAAAAAAGTTGTAATGGTATTTGGACCAATGAGATAAGACCCGTGGCTTGTGCCTAGCTGTGATTGGTTCACTTGTTCTCTGACATCACCGAGGGGCCATTGTTAGTAAGGCCAACTGCCATCCAGCAGGTATATAAGGAATTTGCCTGGGCTGGATTTTTGTCCATACAGCGC